AATAGAGGGATATGAGGCAATGGGTGATTGTTTGGTGTTTTGAGCAAAACACTTCATAGACATGTTTTTTAAATATTTGTATATATCTGAGACCTATGCTATTGCCTAAAAATAGCATGATAGGTGACCTTTAAGATCAGGAAAGATAGACACAGCCTAAACAAGCTTCGCTGCCATTTCCTACAGCAGCGTCTCAAGCACTTTTCCCAAAAAGATGAGGCGTCTTCAACTAAACGCTTGGAGCGGATACACAAAGATGGCAGATTGCTCTAATAACAAAGATCCTGGATGCAGTGCTTTGTCTCAAGACAGTTACATAAGATTATAATCTCTCTTATCATTGGAACAAATATTGAAAGAAGGCACTGGATTGTATACAGGGCTTTAATCAAGATCCTCAGATTGAGAATCAACATGTGTCCACACAGTGAAGGCCTAGGATTCAAACGTTCCAACATGTTGCGTATCGTTGTCTCTAAACAAACCCTTGTGTGGTTATAAAGGAATTTGACCTAGATTGGCCTGGGATACCTTTGTGCCATTTACAATCAAAAGGGAAAGAGAATAAAGAAAACAAGGTTACTATTGACCCCTCCTCTCATCATATGGTTTATTCGGAGTCATGCACCAGTCAGTGTTATGGAGGCAGTCTGCTGATTCAACTTGAAATGTTAATTATTTATCAGAATTAGGGATGAACCGGAGAGGCTCTCTGGGAAATAAACATCCTTCGTGTTAACTAGACGGCCTTGGGGTGAAACCTGGACCGCTTCCTTCCTCTCGTCTGATTCTCACCGCGTTTAATCTGCTCCTGGAACATTTCATCAATACAGACGCGTTCACAAAACATCAATCAAAAGCCAGAGAGAGAAGTCGGAGTATTATTTACACCATTTATCACTTCCTTGATCTTCAACAACTCAAAGACTTTCAATCATCTCAGACAAGAGCTGAGCATCAGAGACTATAAAGAGCTCTTTTTGTCTGACACGTATAAGTGGCTGCTTCTCAAAGAGCAAACAAGATCTGTTCAACTCACGCTGAACATTCAAACTGTGTCAACAAGGAAAGAGCAGATGTTGCACGGCTGGTTTCTCTGCTTCAGCTTCTCGACTAAACTTCCTCCCAAAAGGTGTCAGGGTTTACGGTCAGTCTGATTCATATCGGTGTTACACAAAGCGCAGACGAGCTGTTAATGTTTCAACATGTAAATCGGGAAGGAAATGGATTTCTGACTGAAGAGGAAAGTAATCAATACCTAATAAAGCCTTTGGCCACATGGCTTTCACAGTTGGCAAAGCATGCCTCAAAATGATGGAAACTCAAGAGCAGTGCAGATCATTTGACTTCAATAGATAGATTTAATAAATATTACCTTTGCTACGGATGTTGGTTTTCAGTTGGGGAATTTGGGTGCTTTGTTTGTTTTTCAGAAAGATTAAGAAAAACTATTGGCCAGATTTTAATGAAACTTGTAGGAGTTCACAATTCGCAATATGGACTAGTGCTAAATGCTCTGATTGGTTAGCTGGCCGGCTCTGTTGTGATTGGTCAACCGCTTAGAGATGTCCCGCCCCTTAACCTATTACGTACAATGTGTTTTAGCGCTAGCCAATAGAAGCGCGAATGTTCTATAGGTATGTCATTATGTTCCTGAAGTAAACAAAGGAGTCCAATGGAGGTGTTTCAGGCAAGGGGGGGGGGGGGGGGGGTTGCAACTAGAAGTATTTTTTATCATAGTGGCTTTCGTCAACTTTTAATTGAACAATTTAGATTAGTTAGAAATGGACCTTTGAGTTGAAATTGTTATGGTTATTTCAAAGTAAAGGAAAATGTGACTTCACCTAAACAGGACATGTGATTTCTAAAGTTGATTTAAAAAGATTACAAGAAACAAAGTCATCCTAGCATATTTGTCCTTTCCCCCCCACATGCAGTCATGTATAGAGCATTGATGTTTTTGTCTCCACAAGTAACAGCACCCATGTCATCATTAAAGTGTGTTCTGGGGGGTGAGAGCCTGAGGTGAGAGCATCATGGAGTCTGAGCGTGGGCCCGCCGCTAAGCACCGGCTGCATCATTACCTCCGCCTCCAGAGGCACGGCGGCCAGCAGGAACTGACGGGATCAAGACGGAGAAAACGTTTTCCGTCAGAACTATTATTAGTCTTCAATCACTTCAGACAGGAGGGAAGGGAAACATTTCCAGCATCGCTCTACGCTCCTGCACAACACTAAATATTTATCTTTTTTCTGCACAAAGAGTTGCAATCAATCCAAATGCTAGCGAAATTATCCAAATCGTACCAAGCGCAATATGTGGTAAAGGCAACATATGTGAATGAAATATTGTGTCGTACAAGTCCCGGCCCGTTGACAGTGTTCTAAAGACTTCTTACAAATCTGTGTTTGGTACAGAAAAAATATGGCACCATGATCCTTTGAATGTATTCTTTGATGAAAATGTGAATGATGTTTCACTCGGGGTCATTCCCTCTAATATGGAAAATCATATCACAATTGCAATATCTGTCAGAATAATCGCAATTAGTTTTTTATTTAAATCGTGCAGCCATAACAGTTGGTGATGCATTTGCATGGTACTACAGGTTTCAGCTAACTCTGATCAATATAGTTTCCAATTAGCTTTAAAGCATCAATGTAGAACAACAGCAGCTTGTCAAACGAGCAGAGAAAATGATTATATGATGATATGTGTCAGTTTGAGCGTGCAATGGAAAATAACAACACTTAGTTTTAGTGGAGTTTGAACGGGATCCAGGTCCAAAAAACCTGATTTGGACACTCCTGAGTATATGGATTAACTCTGAGGTAACGTTACGTAACAGTAGACGTCATCTGCAACACTTCAGGTTTCTAAATTAAAAAGGCACAAGGGCTGCTACTAATGACTACTTTCATTATGAACTAATGTGCTGATTATTATATATATAAATCGGTTCGATGTTAGTCTAATATTGTCAGAAAATAAACGTCCATCCGAGTTTCTATAAGTCCAAGGTGATCTCTTAAAATGTCAAGTTTTGTCCGTCCAAAACCTAAAGATATTGACTTTGATTTTATATAAAAACAGAGATAAAAGCAGGAAATATCCACATTTAAGTGGTTGAATACAGAGTTTCTTGACATTACAGTATATCAGGAAGAATGACATGCTTCCAAGGTTTTACTGTCCGATGCACAGTAGCTACATCTTAGCTTAGCGTCAATGAAAATCTGAAGTGCCATGCTTCTCAAACAGTGCTAAGTACAATCAACGTAAGGCAAGGGATTATGTGAAATTGTTGGAGATTAACGTCAATCGACTAAAGAAAAGATTTACATCAAAATGCTAAAGCACAGCAGGAAGTGATGGTGTGGTACAAAGCCAAACAGTACAGACCATTGTTGTGAGGACATTCTGATACAAAACAAAACAATGGCTGTTCTCAGATCTGCTTCCTGTCAGACTTCACTTAGATGACTTACTCCTCTGCAGATAAACCCCCCCCCCCCCTCTGCCTGCAGAGCGTTTTATTGATTTCTCCGTCCTGCAGAGATCCAGAGCTGGGCAGGAGTCCAGGGATTCAAACCAGCAACACACAGACACGCCTCTCACCTCGCACCAGGGGAGTACTACTAACACGAGGAAATCCACTTCCTCTGCGAGACAACAAATCGATCGCCACGTTTTCCTAAAGACTTCACACTCTGTTTATTTATGAATCAGCGCCGGGAGAAGCAGGACTTCCAGCACCACTTGGAGAGGAAAATGCTCTCAGATTTCCTCGCGTTGGATCTCAAGTTTCTGTCTTATTAATGTGACATGGGTTTAATATTCTGAACTTGCACAAATAAACTCCCACGTCTGCCTTCTGTCGGAGCAGATTCATCACTCTCACACACAAACGCTGGATGGAAACACCTCGTCTCTGCTTATTGAAATCAAACACCACGAGACGCTCATTACCAGGCTCCCCAGTGGGAAAAGGGGGAACATGGAGTCAGAACTGGCATCCCGTGCTTGTTTTATTGAGTGAGAACTCGCAGGTCCAGGCTGCCCTCCAGCACCGCACAAAGATGCATTCATCTGAATATAACATGAAGAAAACCGGGGAGGGCTTTTCACTTAATCAGCTGACGGTCCTTGAATGAAGTGCAGCCAAGGACGGGGATTCAATGCATCCTGATATACAATGCATGCAATCAGGAAATAAATAAATAACTGAACATGTCTGCCTTTAAAATAAAGCTTATTTAAGCAGCTCTACCTATGTGTAGTGTGCAGAGATTTTAACCAACAGTTACATGAAACCAAAGGAAGCAACTTAAAGGTTAAGAGGACTTTTGTTTGTTTGTTTTAAGGAGATATTCCTGTCAGTTTTAAGGTGATTTTGTTTGCATTTAAAAAGGCGTGTAGCATGGATTATACTGAGTTTAAGGTAAGCGCAAACAAAGCAGACTTTAAGAAGAAGTCAGTTTTAAGGCTGATGAGGGATTTTACCCAATGGGATGGAAGCTGCAGATCGATAGCATTGTTTAATGTGTAATGTTACAGGGTGGTGGGTTCATTAAAATGTTATTTTTCAAGGCAATTAAAAAAGAACTGCATAAAGTATTGGTTTAACAACCTAGATACCCCTGATTCCCACATAACGCTTCACCACTATGCTATTTTGTTAAAATTAAACAATTCATGGTGGATCTAATATATGCCGAATTGATAAGTAGGTGCATATGATTGTAAAAATATTAAAAGTTTAGTTGTTTGTTGGAAATATTGTGTCAGTTGGGAGAATATGCTTTAAATTGACTAATTTCTAAAGGAGCTTCGACCCTAAATATTGTACATTGTGCATAGGAATCCTGAAGCATTAGGACCATAGACTGTATATATAAAGATTAGGACATGTTTCTCAGATATAGAGATGACATGCTGTTTTATATCAAATTAAATATATTGTTGGTCTCTTGAAAACAGACAACAGGTGTTTCTCTCACCTTCTGCTGCCGCCGGGCCATGTCTGTGGGCTGCTTGGCGTTGAAGGGGTAGGCAATGCACCGGAGGACAAACACATAAATCTGCACTTTAGTCTTCCTCTCCTCTTCCTCCTTCTGGATCCTCTCCCTCTCCTTCCTCTCCTCCTCCTCCTCTTCACCTTTATCGTTGCAGTCTTTCGGAGCACCTTTCCCGGGGACAGCAGCTCCAGGTGCAGGGGGGTTTCTCCGGTTGTTTCCACGTTTCCCCCCCGAAGAAGGAGCCTGTTTCCTGGGAGCCTCCTGCACAACTTCTGGGTCGGACTCCCCGCCCGTGTCTTCGCTGGAGGACGGGTCCAGCATGGTGGGGAACTCCGAGAAAAAAGAGAAACACCTGTCAGAGTTTGTTTGTTTTAGTCGACGTGGCGTTAACAGCTGCACTTTTCACACCAACTGTTCTTCTGTTCAGCCGTCAGTGTTCGGTGCAAACACCCGCGTGGACGTCGGTTAGTTTCCAAACGGTTTTTAACGGTTAATATTCATCGGGTTGTCGTCGCGTGCGCTTCGTTCCGACGCACCGCCGGGAATGTGATGTGTTGGAATGGCTGCGCGTAACCGCTGCTGTGAGCGCGCTTTGACAGTGAGCGCTCCTGCAGACACAGGTGAGCAACCTGTAGCTGCAGAGAGAGGAGAAACACAGCGAGAGGGATCACTCTGACGGGGTTTATAAAAAAAAAACCTCTTGTGCAAACAGTTAATAGGTTAGTATATAAGATATTGTACGGAAGAGGATTAGGGCCACATGAGAAAAAAAATGTTGGAATGTGAAAAACTTAACCCTGATTCTGGATTTTTTTCTCAGAGTTCTGAAATTAAAGTCACTCAACTCAATCATCCTGTGCTATACTGTATTCATTTCAGATAAAATAGGAAATTATAAGATAAGATTGACCTTTTAAGCATGAGTTTAAGCGTTAACAGAGTGAGATTGAAAAACAGGACAGTACAAGATTAATACAATTACAGTTATATGCAGGTAAGTAACTGTTAAAATAAGAAATGAATTAAATGAACATATATACATATTTGAGTCCCATATATACTGAGGAAAAAAATACTTTGCTACTTTAGACTTTTACTTTACTACTTTCAGAGACAACTATATTACTTTTTATCACACCACATTTCTTATGTCGAGTTTAGTTACTGTTCTGATCAAGATGTTATATTACAAACTATTTGAAGAAGTTGTATTACAGTAAAGATTAAGTATTTTAATGTTCTGCTATCTGTAGCTACAGCAGAGAAAGGAGAAAGCAAGCGAGAGGGCTCACTCTGGCTGTGTTTTAAAAACTCACATAGTCTTTTGTTTATATTTTATGTTGCAAACAAACAAGTGATGATACAAGGACTTACTTCTTCAACTGTATTAGGGGCAGCAGCAGCAGCTCAGTCCCTGGTTCGAGTCCCTGGTTCGAGTCCCTGGTTCGAGTCCCTGGTTCGAGTCCCTGATTCGAGTCACTGATTCGAGTCACTGATTCGAGTCACTGATTCGAGTCACTGATTCGAGTCACTGTCCGTGCCGAAAGAAAGACGGATCCTGAACTACTTCCAGGTGGCAAACATATGGCAGCCTCTTAGGTCTGAGTCCGTCTGACACATACCCGTAAAAATGCAGTAGTATGTTTTTTATTGTGTATATTTACTAACATCATTCCTTCTTCATCCTTATGCTAGTTTATGCAATACTATTCGTCAGTATAACATATCCTCTGTATATTCAGCACATTTCTGTACCTCGTTAGGACCTGCACACCTCTTACAATTTCACTTCTGATATACTGCACATATTTGACTTTTAAGAGTCATTCTTACTTTCCTATTTAGTGATAGTGTTTTAATCTGTTTCTATATCACCGTGTTTGTATTGTTTGCAACACGTATACAGTGAAGCAGATTCCCTGTGAATGTAAACTTTCTTGGCAATGAACCTTGTTCTGAAACAGATATGGTTCTTCTTACTCCACTGCATTTTGTCTGGCAGCAGGTTAGTAGGGAGACGTTTTTCCCCTGCAGAGTGATGCCTCCTCTCAAATAGACCATCTTTGAGCTGAAAGGGAAGCAACATGTGTTTGAGCTGGAACATTTAAAGATGTACACCTCACAGTAAAAATATAAAGTAGTTAAAATAATCTGTATGTAAGAATATGTATGTGTAGATAACAAATGTCTCAACTAATGTATTGTTTCAATGTTACAAATACGCTCTGGCAGACTTTCCAAATTAAAGGTCACCTGTCATGCTATTTGTAGGCAATAGCATAGGTCTCAGATATATACAATATATAAAAAACATGTCTATGAAGTGTTTTGCTCAAAATACCAAACAGATCACCCATTCTAGCCATGCCTCATATCCCTCTATTTCACTTCCTGTTTCAAAAGTGCTGATTTGGGGTATAAAGCTTTAAAAAAAAACATTTTACAACAAATAAAAAGTAAGGGTCTGAGCTCATGCGGGACCCGGCAGCTACTGTCTAAACTAAATACTGCCGTGATGAAACGCCATATCATGGATTATCAAGGATTATTTCTGAAACAGTATGGAGCTCAAAGGCTTTCTCTCTTGCCGGTTATACCACAAGGTGAGTTCCTTTTTATTTCCTGCTTCTTCACACACATGCTCTCCAGTACAGGTTAGCTCTGAGTGTTAGCGATGCTAATGTAAACACCGACCATATTACGTCCAAAACAGTCGGCCATTGTTTTTGATAGCAACGTTTCTGATAGGGCCGTGGGTCCACATTTCAGATATTACGTCATATCGGACGCAAATCTGGATCAGCTCCGTTGTTCCCCCGTTTTTAGAGATTTGGGTACGGAGGAAAAGAGAGAGGGTTTTATTTTCTGACGCTGCGTGAGTTCCCCGACGCACCGGGGACACATCTTTATGTATACAAGACATCAAAAAGTGCATTTTGCATGATAGGTCCCCTTTAAGTCTTTCAGGATTGTGTTCACTATGTACAAATCAAACCATACACATATGGATAGATTTGTAAAGAGGGATTTCTACCTCCTAAAAGCATGACAGACAATTCAAACAAGCACATTGTCCACTATGATCACAACATGTTAAGCTTTTGTAGCAGGGGATTACAGCTTCTGAATAGCAGTGTACACAGTTTATATAAATGTATTGTGTTAAGGTGTAGTCATTTAGGGACACAATAGCCACTAGAGGTCAGTGTTTCTCTGGTTGTTTACACCACTTACTCGTCGTAATTGAAGTCCTTAACATAGGAGTTACAGAGCAATAAAGGCAACACATACATATACAAAAAAAAAAACACAATCGCATACATCTGTAATAATTCACATGTTTTCCAGTTTTTTGATTTACTGCTTCTGCTGCAGCTATAATGACACCAACCTGATAACTAAAGTGAGTAAAGTAGAGCTTCGTTTGTGCATTATTTATGTTTTATCCAAATGTATATCTGGGAGGAACCTTGCCAACGTCAGAGGATGTTGAGAGTTCAAACTATGGACTGATTTCCTTTCTTTTTATTATATTTGCCTGCGATCCAGCACCTCACCTGAACAGTTGTGTGCGTTCCATCCATCAGTGCTTTACTGACACAAAGCTGCACATAAATGGGAACTCCAGCAATTTAAAGGAGCAAATAAATTGTTGTTTGCTAAAATAGTCCGGCTGAAATTGTGGAAATGAATGCACTGTATTGGAAAGTTTGAAAACACCCCAAAAGACATTCTATACCATTTACTTTAGGGTTATTTTACTCTTCTTTCCGGAAGCCAAGCCCTGGGTATCCGAGCTCCCAACATCTAAATTCTAAATAAAAGCTAACCCTAACCCTAACCCTGAAAAACAGGCTCGGGGCTCAACTGGTTCATAAATGTACATGAGTGAAAACCAGGATTAAGACCATCATGAACTTTATTTTGTAAAGTGACAGCTGATCAGAGCGAGGGAGGGGCACATTGGGGGGGTTTCTTAATGAACTGAACCCGCTGGGGTGTGGACTGTGGGCTTGCCTGTCGCCATGGTGACGGGCTTGGAGACGAGCTGGTTGCCAAGCGCGGCGGTCGGCTCCAGGTGCTCCGCCATGACGGGGACGCTGCTGAAGTGCCGGCGAGCCAACATGTGTTTGTGATCGACCCTGCGGAGGAACGTCACCTCGTACGCCTGAACGAACACACACGCACACACACACACACACACACACACACACACACACACACACACACACACACACACACACACACACACACACACACAATGGATGTCTAAATGGCTTCTTTAAGACCAACGGGAACATTTCAGTTTGGTCTGGTTCAAATGTCTCTGTGCTTTGTATAGTCCTCTGTCTTCCTCGACACAGCGTTAACCTTCGTGCTATGTATTACTGTATGCATGTTTGGTTTTATTGTTTTAACTATTTCCAGATACAATAGCCTCTTGGTTAGCGCATTTAAGGAAGTCTCTTTTGATGTACACTGTCCCTGCAAATAAAGTAATAATAAATACATTATAAAATAAAAAAAATTGTGTTTATAGATCCACCCTTTTCTTCTCTCTCTAATGCTTTCTTTTGTCATACGGCTTTGAAAGTTAATTTAATTGTTGATTATAACCAGAAAAAACCTTAAAAAGTTCCTTCAAAGTTCACTGGGTTCTTGGTAAAGTTCCAACCATGGGAAATAGCTACTTCATAATTGTGGGTGTGTATCTTGGGTTCCAAAAGTGTCTTCTGATCCCATCCCAATGCCAGAGGAATGATCAGAACGAGATCACGTGTCACTACAAGGTGAGAGTTCACACATCTGAGATTAGACATGAGGTGGAGACGATTGTATACATGTTGAATGGACAGACCTTGTGCACGTCGTCCACCTCCAGGTGCGCGGACGTCTCCTCTTTGGACAGCAGGATGCAGTTCCAGGGGCTCCAGACCCTCCTCTTCTCCCAGCGCACAAACACCAGGCTGTAGAGGTCGCTGCTGCTGTGGAGGGCGGAGCGCGACGCCCACAGCACCTCCACCAGGTACCGCACGTCCTCCACCTGAGAGCACACACACACACACACACACACACACACACACACACACACACACACACACACACACACACACACACACACACACACACACACACACACACACACACACACAGAGAGATCAGTTATGATCTACGTATATTCAGAAGAGTATGTACACACTATCAAATATACAGAATATATTTGAATACTCTCCAATATATCAATCTACTAAAGGTACAGAAACATATGCAAATCATCTGCTATATACATTAAAAGGTTGTGCACAGTAGCTTGTAATTAAAAGTAAAATATAGTAGACTACAATATGTAAGTACAGTATGTG